TTCCTTAATTATTTGCTCAATTATCTTTCCAGGTACACACGTTAAGCTGACTGGTCTGTAATTCCCCAGGTTGTCCTTATTTCCTTTTTTATAGATGGGCACTATATTTGCCCTTTTCCAGTCTTCTGGAATCTCTCCTGTCTTCCATGACTTTTCAAAGATAATTGCTAATGGCTCAGATATCTCCTCAGTCAGCTCCTTGAGTATTCTAGGACACATTTCATCAGGCCTTGGTGACTTGAAGACATCTAACTTGTCTAAGAAATTTTTAACTGCAGTATGTGGGACACTCTAGGCGGGGTCTCTATGGTCAGGATGGGGGGTCACTGCAGTAAGGGGTGCTCTAGTCAGGGTCTCTATGGTTAAGGGAGGGGAAGGGCACTGGATAGGTTTGCCAGGTTGTCTCTGTCTCACAAAACTGGGTGACTGGATGAGAAAATGGCAGATGAACAGCTTCCATATGAGGAGAGATTAAAACGATTGAGACTGTTCATCTTGGAAGAGAGACAACTGGGGGAATACCATAGAGGTCTATAAAACCCTGAAAGGCACAGAGGAAGTAAATAAGAAAGTGTTATTTACCCCTTCACATAACACAAGAACCAGTCATCACCTGATGAAATTAACAGGGAGCAGGTTTAAAGCAAACAAGAGGAAGTATTTCTTCACACAACGCACAGTCAACCTGTGGAACTCCTTGCCAGGGGATGTTGTGAAGGCCAAAAGTATAACTGGTTCAAAAAAGGAATTGGATAAGTTCCTGGAGGACAGGTCCATCAATGGCTATTAGCCAAGATGCTCAGGGATGCAACCCCAGGATCTGGATGTCCCTCAGCCTCTGGCCACCAGAAGCTGGGACAGGACAACAGGGGATGGATCACTCAATAATTGCCCTATTCTGTCCATTCCCTGTGGGGCACCTGGTATTGGCCACTGTCGGAAGACAGGATACTGGGCTAGATGGACCATTGGTCTGATCCAGTTTACTACAGTAGAAGAGATTGGAGACCCAGGCCCAATGAATGGCTATCTAATCTTATCTATCTATCTATCCATCCCAAAACAGACCCCTCTATCTCTCCATTACATATACACCCTACAATCTATCATTCTCTCTCTCCCCCCGCAACCCCCCAGACACACCCATCTGATTCATTGACTCCAATGGAGCTATGGCCCATTGACCCCAGCTGGGATCTGGCCCCATTGACTCCAATGGAGCTGCAGCTGATTGACCCCAGCTGGGATCTGGCCCCATTGACTCCAATGGAGCTACGGCCAATTGACCCCAGCTGGGATCTGGCCCCATTGACTCCAAGGGAGCTATGGCCCATTGACCCCAGCTGGGATCTGTCTATATTTTACATACCTGCCCCCTTCTGGGTAATCCCAGAGCAGAGCAAGTGAGTGGAAGACACTAGT